GGGGGGGGGGGGAGAGAGAGAGAGAGGAAAAAAAAAAACTGGTACCTGTGGGGTTCGAACCCACGCACCTCTCGGTATCGGGGCTTAAATCCGACGCCTTAGACCACTCGGCCAAAGTACCTGTGTAAGTCTTTTTCATTTTTTCATCTGATCACAAGTGTATTAAGTCAATCATCATGAATGAATGATTCATTGCTTATTTCTTAGAAATAGAGATCAATTTGAACATTTATATTGTTTATAGCTTATTATTATTTGGTGAAACTTATTCTGAATGTAATATTATCTCATTTCACAGGAAGGTTCAATGACTATCAAGAATTTTTTCAACTAACATGACAGAAGGAAAATTTCATATTCATCTCATCAACAAAGCAAGAGAACGTTTATTCTGACATATGAAGTAAAAATCAAAAAAATGTCTTCTGAGATTAAAATCGAATTTAATACACGTTTTCAAGAAACAGTTGACTCGTTAAACATTTCCATATTTAACCATGCAGCCAATATCGATTCCGCTTTTGTCTTTGTTACTGATCAATTTTTCCCATTATATTATAACTTCAAATCCAACGATTACATGTTATTCCACGGCAAACCAAAGAGTAAACCTGCTCCAACATGCATCGACATCTCAGATAACAAAAAATACGTCGTAACCGGACATGCTGATGGATCCATCGCTCTCTGGTCAATTGCAGATAATTTCACCTTTATTAAGCAATTCCAAAAAATGCACACATCTACGGCAATCACGCACGTCAAATTCGGCAAAAATTCGGAAACTTTATATATCGCAGATTCAAAAGGTTTGGTCACGCAAATCAGTTTAACCGTTATTATTGCAGCCTACACATTTAAAGAAACACTTGTTTATGACGGGCAGAATCAGCCAGTGAAGTCAATTGTTGTGTCAAGACAAGGTGATCCGTTTCCTATTGGATTTATTACGTTTGAAAACTATTATGTCACTTTTGATCCAAATGCTACAACTTCTGGTGGTTTTGGTCAACAAAAGAAATCTCTAGCTATTATTTCTGAAAAATTCCAAAACGAACCGCACCTAACACTTTTTGCAAGAGATCAAGATTTCTTTTTAAATACTGCTATTGGTTCAACTGTTAAAATGTCGCAAATTCGTGATGTAAATACAATCATTCCATTATTAAGTGAAATCAAATTCCAAGATGAAATAATTCGTAGTACGCTTTTCTTATCATCTTCGTTAATTTCGGTTTTAACACAAAGTGGTTCAATGCAACTCATGTTGTATAATGGAGATATTGTATGCAAGAGTCAATCTCAACAACTCACAAATATTGTTAATTCTTGTAACACTTTCTTAACATTTAACGAGAAAATTGTGGCAGTTTCTCAAAATACCGTTAGTCTGATTGCTTTTGCTAGCTGGGAAGATATGATTGTTGGAATGGCAAATGATAACCAATGGAGTAATGCCTTCCAATCACTTTCTGAAATTAATTTGAACTTAAGTTGTGATTTAATTGGAATTCCAACGAACCAATCTATTCGAAGACGAAAAGTCTTAGAAATAGGCCAAAAACTGATTGTTGACTATTTCACTAAAGCTTTAGAACTTGATAATGAAACGCTTGTTGATCAAACAATTAACGCTACAGTCAACGTTGTGACATTGGAACTTACAAACTATATGATTCATGATATTTACGAACTATTCAAAACTAAAAATAAACTTCAATTTTATTATGAAGGGATTCAGAAAGCTGGTGACAAAAATTTTGTACTGTTTTGTTCACCAGAATTTGTTTCAAACTTTATTGAATTTTCAAGTAAATCTGAAAATTCTGGAAAATGTGAAGATTATTTGATTGGTTTGAATTATTTGAATTCACAAGTGGCTCCTTTGATTTCTGTTGCAGCTGAAAAGAAGTATTTGAAGTTGTTTAGGCATTTATATATAAAATACTTAAATGAATGTATCATTCCATGTCAATTTTACTATGAAAATGGGAAATTACTTGAATATGTTGAATATATATTTAATGATTTTACAGATGATGATAATACTCGAGCAAGACAACGTTCAATTCTTGTATGGCTTTTAATTCCTGATTCTGAAGGTCAATTTTCACGCTTTTATTCACTCTGTCAAGAAAATTGGGAGCAGGCTCTTTATTTTGTTTCTGTTTTCTCCCAAATTTTAAGTAATACTCCGATCCATTTTACATTTGATGATATTTTAACCATTGATGTCCTTATTGAAGCAGTGCTTCGTGCATTACATAAAGAATCCTACGAAAGAACCGAACCTTTCTTAATTGTTCTTCTTCCATATGTTGCATCGAAAAACATTGTGCTTGGAAATGCATCACTTCCAAACATTCTTCGTTGGTGTTTTGAATCAGATTCCAAAACAACTGATAGAGAAACTGTTTTAAGGATAATAATTAATCAACATCCTAATTTAATTCCTGAAGATACGCTTGCTAAACTTTGTGAAAAAGCTCGTTTTATTTCATTCATTAAAGAAATTTATGTGCCACAAAAACAATATGGACGAGTTGTTCATGCAATGATTAGAAACGAAGAATACCGCCCCCTTGTTTTCGATTTCTTAAAAGAACATCTTGAAGATAAAGAACAATTAAAAGCTGCAATTTTCTCTGCTTGTCAGCTGCTTTTGTTAGTTAACCCACAAACTTTTGTTTCTTTTGTTTCTGATAATTTCCCTGAAATTTACAATAATATTATTGATCTTCTTAAGCCAAGTGATCGATTAATCTTCTTAACAACATTAAATGAAATTAATGGAACACTTGATGATGAAATGAAAATGATGACATTCCAACTCCTCCTTCAATTCCGTCCACAATCTGCTGAACAGTTCCTTTCTGAAAACATTAATGATATGGATCTTGAAAAAGCTCAGCAACTGAGTATAAAATATGATCGAACTGATTGCCAAGTTGTTATAAAAATGTACCAACATCAATACAAAGAAGCAACTGAACAAATTGGCACAGAAATTGAGAAACTGCTTCTAGATTTCATTGAAAGTGACTCCCAAGAAATGCCTGCATCAATTGATGAGCTTGCAGGAATGAAAGACATGAAGCATTGTGTAGAAACGATTGATATTGCATTGAAATTGCTAACTACTATCACAATTGATAGTAATGATAAAATGACTTTCCAGAAAACTTACTTTTATTTCTTGTTCCCAATGTATCTTGCTCAGAAATCCCGTGAAAACATTAAACAAAGTGTAACGTTAATGTTTTCTTACTTTGTTGTAAGTTCAATGAACTGCATTTCACCACATCATGCCTTTTTAATCTTATCTATTCACTTTTCACATCTTGATCCCGATGTTTACAAGCTTATCTTAAAGAATATCACTGCTAGAATTGATTACCAGAAGTACTTATTGAAAGGACTTGACGACATGCTTATTTCTGATTGTCTTGATTTAATAGATAAAGTATTCCTTAAACAAACTAAAGGAATTGAAGTGAAGGATTTGAATTGCTGTGTTTGTAGAGGAAAACTTGATCCTTTATCATATCAAAATTGGTATCTTTATCCATGTGGACACATTTGTCATGTTGACTGTAATGCAAAGAAGCATGAAATATGCCCAGCATGTACGGGAATGGCTGCAACTGAACAAATAGTAGTTGAAAAAGACACAAAGCCGAAGAAACTAATGCCAAGAGAAGTACAAAGAATCATGAGAAGACTTCAATTTGCACTGAAGAAAAACTTTGGTGTAGATGAAATTTCACAAGAATCCACGAATGCGGCTTACTTCTCAAAGCCGCCTGAATTTGATGAAGAGATAATTGTTGACTTAAATGATACCCTTCCACCCCCAGATGATGCTGTAATTAAAATTGTTGATACATCATCTGAATAAAAATAAATGAATTTTTGTTCTTTAATTACTAACAATGAATTAAAACCTATTTTCATCTATCTTTTATTGTATCAAATCAATTTTTTTTTAAAAAAAAATTATAAATATGAATTAATAGAAAATAGAATGTGTTAAAAGGTATTCACATTTTTACTAATTATATATTAGGAGTTAGGTTCATTATTGTTCTTTATTAAAAATAGTAATAATTCCATGATTTTGATTCTAAAAGATATAAAATATGATAATATCATTTATGTTAATGTAGTGAGAATTATACTTATTATATTTGTATTTGATGTATATAACTAGTAGTCAGAATTATGATGAGTAATTAAACTATTAATATTAGCATTTATTAAAATTAGGATTATGAGAAATCATTTAAAGCGACTTTTATCTGAAAATTAATTATATATTGATGCATTTATCCAGTATGCCGAATGGGTTATTGGTTGCTGTTGATCTATTTCTCGAAATATAATGCTAATCTATAGGCTGAATTATGGCATATGAAATTATACAATTAATCAAATTTAATCATTGGCAAAGTTATACAAATATTTATTCACTTTAAAGTTTTCCACTTCATCACTCTTATTGGGAAAACATAAAAAATTAACATTCACTGATTTTCTACCAATTTTCACGATAAAAGTATTCTCACACAGTGAAGTAAACACTCATTCTTACACACGCAAAACAAACTCAGAAAAAAAAATCATTCATCGAATTGGAAAAGTGATTGTAATTGAGCCAGCGAACTCACCTCTGCTGCTGCTGCTGCTGCTGGTTTATTTTGTTGCTCCGTTGATCCCACTGCTGCTATTGATGAAGATGCTAAACCTACTGATGGTGTTATTGAAGACACTAATGAAGATGGTACTGCTATTGATGGTGCTGCTGAAGATTGAATTGGAGGTGCTGTTGAAGAAGAAGCTGCAGCTGAAGTATCCAAAATGGGTTGATCTTGTGCTGGAGCAGGTTGAAGAGGCAGTGAGGCGCTTGGTGGTGCTTGTGCCTGTTCTTGTGGCTGTGGCTGGGCAGCTTGAAGTGGCGGGAGAGCAGAAGGAGGGAGACTGGATGCAGCCGGAATTGGCGGCGGCTGAGGCGGGTACTGGCCTGGCACAGGTGGGGGGTACGGATAGGGCGGATAGGGGTAGGGGGCATACGGGTAAGGCTGCGGGTATGGATATGGCTGGCCGTGGGCATAACTCCAGTGG